TAATCTTCACCTGGGGAACGAGAAAAAGCAAGAATGTCGTAATCTTGATTCAAACATCTGTGAGAAGAGACCATGAGAAGGGACTTAGGAATTTTTTCAACATTGAGAGAACTTAACACAGACTTCTCTTTTTATATGAAGAAATAATTGTTTGTTTAATTATCTGAATTTGTTCTTGCACGATACAAATTATTTTCTCAATATTATTTTAGTTATTTAGTTCCATAATTCCTAGAAATTTTATTATATTTTATCTTTGATTATTTATGTATAATCTCTTGCTCATTCCACATTATTTATTATGATAAAAAACAAGTAAGTACTCTATATAATTTCGAATGAGCATTGAAAATCTCAATTAAACTATATTCGTAAGCAAAACTTAAATGTTATGTCTGTTATTTTTAGAGAATTAACTTCAATGACTGCTGATCCTCCGGTAGAATTAATTAAACTGAAAATTAACTTGATTTATTGGGAAATGAGGAGGGGAAGGAGATTATTAATTAGCATCAGCACGTGCAATTAAACTTTGATTAATAAGGTGCCATAGGGATTTGCTTTGAATATTAAACGTTTATCAATACGATCATAAAATTAGAAATCATACCGATTACTCTTAACAAGATTTACCGATTACCAACTACTTAACAAGATTTTAAATTTTTCATGAAACTCAACTGATATTCGAATATTTTTTATATCGAATCGATAGAATTCTTCCTTTTTCTTTGAGTGTGATTCCCAAAAACATCTAAATCAATATCGATAGGAAAAATGGGAAGGAAATGTTTATTCATCGAGTTCCCTTTAATAATGAAAATTAAATTGAAATTAATTTCATTCTCGAATGCCAATAATTCGAAGGAAAATAGGGAGGACGAGGCCAATGGAAATTATCGTAGCTGCTTTTATCGAGGTCCATTGTTACCTAAATATAGCTGTAGCTATTTTGAAACCGCGTTGCAGAGTCGGGGCGTAACGCTGATTTCGTTCATTACTGGGTCCGGGGTGGCTTTGGGCTGTCTTTCATGCGGTTCCAATGATAATTCAATTATGCCCGCCATTTACACGCATCGCCCGGAATGGATCGCGAGAGAATGAATATCGTATACTCGGCTCTGGTAACACCGGACTCCAGAAACCCACCACACGTGCTATACTTACTCTAATGGATAACGAATGCGTGTCTCGTAAAAATTTGCTTCGGGGATCGTTTAAGTCGATCCAGCGACTAGATTTATATAACGGGTGTTCGCTAAATATAGTTAAATATCGTTTTTCACGAACATTGGTCACATCGTTTTTTAATCGGGAAAATTAAAAAATTCGATCATAGAGAAAAAAATAAAAGAAATTTTATTTTTATAATCGCGAGTTTGGAATTTCGTGTCGAAATTCTTTGAACGTTATTGAATTGGAATGTTACACGGATAATCATCAGATTCTTTCATTCGCAACGTTTCTTTTTATCGAGGGAAGGGAATTTGAGGAATCTTGAGAAAAATAAGAATTGATAATTGATGATTACTTAATCGCAATAAGATACTAAGATCTATCGACGAAGTGGCTCATCGAAAAAGAAGTTTCGGATATCGTCAAGTTTCGAGATGATTGTATGGAGAAATTGCGCGAATGTCAACAGGCAAAACTCGATGGTAAATTAGAAAGTGGCGAGGCGCGATCGTGTCCCCTAAGGCAGGGCGTCGGATAGGCGGTCCCAAACACAAAGTTAAACGCTCTTCCGACACCTTGTTGATCGTCCTCTTTTATTCAGACACGCACTTCCTTTTCGAACGTAATTATTCTTAGCAAGTGGAGAGATGTATCGATGAAGTAATTACTTTTTCCCCTTTTTCCCTTTAATTAACGTTTTTTTTTTTACTTCATACATGGTTATATATATACATATATTTTCACATACTTTACCTAGGTACTCCGATATGATGATTATTTCCTCGATTTCGAACCATCGAATCTTCATTCTTTTCATACGATATTATATATCAGGTAATCGGTCGTGGATTTATCGAATCTCAAGGTAATGGTTCACGGGCGAAACTCTATTTGACGAATGAAGGCAATTAATAATCGGCGGCAACGTGTGATCTTATGGGATTCGCATCGTTAACGTTATTTGTTACGCGTGTTGCAACGTTGTACGCGAAGGGTAGGCGGTCACTCGAGCAGACGGGGGAGGAGAGAGGGGTAGAAGAGAAAGCGTCGCGTGGATTTTTCCCGTGGAACGATCGAGAGATCGGCGTGGATATAGTCGCGATGATCGATCGTGGTCGGTGAATCGAGCGAAACTCGTTTAACTTGTCAATCCTGTGTGTACCCGTTTCCCTTAACCCGTGACCGTGCGTATTTATCGTCGGATTAATGTCCGGAGTGTTGGACATCCCGAGAAAGATGAATTTCTGCTCTCTGATTTTTACCATTCGCGTTAAGATTCTCTTCTTCCATGTCTCCTCTCTCTCTCTCTCTCTCTCTCTCTCTCTCTCTCTCTCTTACTCTTCTCTCTCTTTTTTTTTTATTTTCCTCTCGACGAAGAATTTCGTTTATCTGATGGAGGTAATGTTACGACGTCCGTACATCGATGAATCGTGTACCGTGTTCACCGTTCGCTTCTTCTAACCGGTGTTAGCGTAATTTTCGCGCTCGCGTCGAGGTATTACAGGTAAGCAGGCTTACGATCGCGTCACGCCGATCTTCTTATTTTCTTTCCTTCTTTTTCTTTTTTATCAGATATCAGAGGGATGACGAGTGATCGTAAGTTGTGATTCTTCGAGAATCGCGCACGCAGACGCACAGAATAACACGATTGAACAGATTTAAAACACGAGTCACGACGATCAATGAGAAAATTCTTTTCCCCCGTTCATGCTGCTTTCGTCATCTTTTTTGAATATCTACATTTCGAGGATGATGGATCGATGAGAAAACACGTAAGTAAGGAACAATGTAACAATTAAATGCCACAGCAAGAGAGAAAACGAGACGATTTTATATATATTATAGGTGTACACGTGATCGGCTATTTTCTTCCGTTTCGGTGTCGCGTGGGGGTTAATTGGCAGTCGGAGAAAAGGGTTTCATTAGAGAGAGCCGTGATGCATCGTCGCGCGACAGAAGCGAGGCGAACGCGACGATACGCGTTGCCTATGGGCATCCAAGTCGAAGAGGAAGAATACGGGGGAGCTGAGACGGGGAGCACATGGAAGGCAAAAAGGCATGGTACGAGAGGGAGGAGAAAGATCGAGGGGACAAGATTAAACGTGGGACAAAGACGGAAATTGAGGCGTAAGGCTTGCCCGGTAGCGATGGATTCGATTCGTCCCGAGGACGTAGAATCACCGAGTTCAAACCTATAAAGAAGGACGTACACTGCATTTCATAAAATTTATCGATGCAAGATCATTCATCGCTCGCTGGAAGAAACAAGTGTACACCTCCTCTTGCACGATTATTTATTCAATCGATAATTTGTAATATTATCGATTCGACAAGTTAGTTACGAAGTTATATAGATCTACAATTTATTTCTTTTACAATTTTTATTGATTTTGATACGAAATACTCGAACGAGTTGTAAAATTCCACCGACGGCACATTATCGTTAATATCATTATCGCGCAAGAAAGTTAGGACATCTTCTTCCCAAACACCTGTTTATATGTAATTTTTCACGTATAAAAAAAATCGAACGAATCTGAAGTGAGGGGGAAGAAAAAACGGTGTAACGAGATTTAACGCGTTTCCCCGTTCCAGTTGCGTGACTCAGCCATCTTCTTTCTCTTGGAAAATCGTAGCGCGGCCAAAGAGCAAGATCCGATCGCGAAGGGCGTACCTTTGCACCTTTGCCTCCTACGAATTTCTCGAATTCATTAAGATTATTAAGTCCTCTTGGAGGCCTGTTGGGCGTTGGAACTCGAGTAGGAGGCAAGGTGGATCGCGGACAGAAAAGACATGGAAGAGAGGGAGCAGGAAGAGACAAGAGGTTCGGAGGACGACCGTGTCTGCGGGTAGACAAAAGAGGAAAGGAGAGAGAATCGGAATGGAAGTGGAAGGAGTACGCGGTGACTGGCAGCCTCTGGCTCCGATGTCTCGTTTACCATAATACAAGGCCTTCGGTGAGGGGCAGCGCGGACTGGAGGATGCACAGGGACCCTCCTCGAAACGGTAGCAATGTATCAGAGGACCGTGAAAACCCCGTCGTGGACGGCCGCGGATCCCGTCCACTCAAAGGACGCGCTGCGTGGAACACACGTGATATCCTGTCGTCGCTTCTGTCTCCTCTATCGGTGTGCCTCTGTTACGAAGTCGTACCTGTTGTGCTTTTACACGACGTGGAAAGAACGATCGCGAGAATCTGCTGGAAATTGTGCATGGATGTAGGATACGATACAGGGAGGAGGATGGACAGGTAGAAGGAACCAGAGACTAGGATGGATGTGGAGGATTTGGCGAGGCGGGGAAGAAGCGTATCGTTAAAGAGGTTGGACGATTTATTGGCTTGTCTTCGATCGAAGGTCATTAAGGCAATCGTTCAGCTAGATACGGATTTAATCGTGAAGAAAGTATGGAAATTTAGGATTGGTTGGTTACTCCATTTGATTTTTCTAACGCGCGAATTTGAATCGAGGCGATGATGGGAGAGGAAGGGGCGAGAATTCGATAAACGCGATGGATGAAACGATACGCGGTTCGCATGGAAGAGTCAGAAAAGCGAGGGGAGAGGAGCAAGGTCGTCGTGGTTGTCGTCGTCGACGAGCGTATCTGCAAATTAAGCGAGTGCACGCCGCTTGCCAACTGCTCCTTCCCAGACGTCGAAAAGTCGAGGAAATCTTGGAATATCTCGTTCGTTACACGTGATTTCTCCGCTCTACCCTTCGTCTCTCTCGTCCACCGAATGTCCCGGATGCTTAACAATTACACGGGAATGCGATTCGTGGCCGTCCCGAAGTTTCTCTTACGAGTTCTTTACGAGCCCGCCTATTTTTCGTTCCCGCGCAAATTTTTCCAATCATCCTTTTTCAAATCGAAACTTAATCTTATCGATATCGACATAATTTTTCGCATTATATAAATGTCACAACGCACGAGGAAAAAAAAAAACAAAAGAAAGAACGAGAGGAAGGATATAAAGAAGAGGAGAATACGCAGGTTTGGATACGCAGGCCCTCGGTTTGACGGACCTCGTCCTCCCTTTCCACCAGAAAAAGGACGCTCTCCTCGAGGATCTTACTCCTTCCTCCCTCTTCTTCCTCCCTCTCTCTTTCCTCTTCCCTCTTCCTCCGTCCCTCCTACTCCGTCTACTTCTCTTTCGGCCGCTCTGCTCGCCGTCCCTTACCATTTCGAGGCCGCTGTCTTCGTTTCTCTTCGCTCGACCGCGCGATCCGCACACGCCACTTCTTCTTCAGTGGCCGCTGGTACCACTCTCGGCTAG